TTTTACTTAATAAATTTTTCATACGATACGCACTGACTGAACATGTGTATATCAATGTCCAACTTATATAATTAAAGTGTGTTACCATTAAAGAAAGACTGGATAGCATCTGAAAAATTTTTGCGATGGCGAGACTGTAATGGTTGGAGACACCAATGTAATAAAAACAGTTGATGACTTCTATTATGATGGTATATTATAAAATGAGCGGAACATCTTACAATATTAAATCATTCACTTTCAGAAAACTACTAAATTAAAACCAATACATTACCGTAATTATAACGCCTATTATATTCATAATTAATCATTCTGTTTGTTACCCTTTATGTTTTAATGGCCCAATGTCTAAGAAAAGTTCTCTCGGTAATCTCAATGGAACTCTACCACCAGTGTTGGTAAGATGAATTTGATATCTTTTAGGTTCAGTGTACGTTTATTTTGCTAACGGGAGGCAGAATTGTTATGGAGTATTTCTAGTCTGCTGTTCTTGGATCTTCCCCCAAACTAAATGACAATCACGCATATCTCATCTGAAAGAAAGAGCACACTCAAGATGATAAACAAACACATTCTTCCACATTGTTTCTTGTGTGTGCCATTTCACTTAACCAACACGGAGTGTGCTCTGTATCTGATGGGATGCATACTAGGCACAATTACGACAGAGATCACACAGAGTGCCATCGATTTTATTGCATAAAAGGAAGAAAGTTTAAACTCCTATATGCGAGGTAGTAGAGAACACTTCTTTCTAATATTCATGCTTGACGAACCTCGTGGATGCTGCAAAAATCTATAAGTTTCTGCCATAAGTTCTGCCAATTCTCACAAAATAATATCTTTACAAGCAATGTTAACGTATTCTAGGAGTTTAAAGAATATCTAAAATCCTGAATATTTGTACATATTTGATTATTATTGCTTTGCCTTAATTAATACTTTAAAGCATAAGGTTATATACCGCTAGTATTATTTTCATATGGGATACTGCGATGGAAAAAGGATTTATGTGGCTCGAAGATTTGATATATAAGTTCTTTTAACTTGTCCCATTGAAGAAGAAGGATATAAGCATTAGTACCTATGACTACTTTGATGAAAGTTTTATCCATTATCTAAGCTAGAGACTGATTAACACTTATGTTTGTTATTTATTTTAGCTTCTCTTCCTATTTTTTAGTTTATTTGATATGTGTGTTAATCAAGTTGTTGTCACGTTTGAATCAATCTATATGCTTCATTGTGTATAAATTTTATTCGTTTCATTAGCTTTCATGTTGATCACTAGTACTTTCTTAATGCTACTTCTAGATTTTTTAGCAAATTTTATTTATTTAAGTGAAAGTTTTTTTAAATTTCCACATTTTCATATTCAAACTTGCAATATACTTTGTTCTGTTACATTGCTTTAGCCTTTGCATCCTCATCACTGGGTAGATCCCGTAATTGCGAACCTTATATATATATATATATATATATAATTAATTAAAATTATGATAATGATTTTTTTTTTTACATTTCGGCCATTTAAGTCAAACACACACACAACCCATACACAACAAAGACTCGAATCCAAGACTTTTTAGTTGGAAGCATAAGCTCTCAACCAACATGACAAGGTGAGCTGTGTAAATGATGATGATGATAAGATATGATATTAAATTAACAATGGTTTTGCATGATGAGATTTTAAATTGAAAATTTTGACTTTATGTGTCTTAACTCTTATAACGAATGCATTTGGATAAATATGCCTTTTATATTTTTATTTCGCAATTTTGAATTGATAAATTTGAATTTGTATGCCTCATAACTAATTTGTTTGGATGAATATACCTTTTACTTTTTTATTTTGTGAAGTATCATTGATGAGAGATGTGAGAGTCATGAGAGACATTGGATTTCTTACTCGAAAAATTCAAGAAAGGAAAAAACACATAGTGTGTCCAATCGAACCACAGCTTACCGTTCGGTACTTCACAGTACCGAACGGTACTGAGCTCGGTAATGTAAAATACTGAGTTTGGTACTTCAAAGTACTGAGTTCGATACTTCGCAGTACCGAGCATACTAAGCTCGGACGACGACCGATGTCCAAACCCAATAATTTCCCGTGTCCAAGGGTCCATGTTCCAAGTCCTTTCCTCTCTTATTTAGGAAGATGTGGCCTATTTAGAGATTTTTAGGATTGGCATAATTGTACATATCGAGCAAATCTGGAGCACTCCAACAAATGACTCGTATTGATTCTCTTGATCATATAACTTTCATTCAACATTTAAGTGCCTTGACAATGTCATATTTAGGCGATGTTGGGCTTCTTGGATTTGTCTTGTTGAGCCACTTAATTCGACTATAAGCATGCCAAATTTAAGAACTGTTTGACGATAAAATCAATATATCAAAGTTTTTAAATACGCTTCAGGCCATTGATTTGAGCTCATCTAAGTTCAGATTAGACCGCTTTTGGTGTCGTTAGGTATATCTCTTTGAGATGTACATTTTAATCATATGTAAAATGAGAGTTTAGATATATAATTCTGAATTTAATTTTTAAAATTTTCAATTTATATATAGCTTGAGATTTGTGCACTATCCATATTATTTTGGTTTAGTTATCACTAGTATAAATGCAAATACAGATGATGCACGTGAATAAAAATTTAAAGATAAAAAATATATTAAAAAAAGAGAACACGTGAATAACCAAAATTTCTTTCTTTACTATGAGAAAAATTATACATGAAAAAATGCAAATACAAACAAATAATAAGAAGCAATATGCTAACATTATATAAATATTTTAAAAATAGAAACATAAACCCTAACGTTAGGTTTAAGATAATTATTATAAATATGAACAGTTATGATCATTTTCTGTGAATTAAAAAAATAGTGATTTTACATAAGAAATTACTATAATGAAATGTGAAAAATAAATTACATAATTATGTTATAATTTAATGACACATTAAGAAAAATACATTAATTATAATAAATAAATAAATAGTCCTCAACCTTTTCCACCTAGCTATATACACATAATGCACGTGAAAAACACATAGTTATAGCAACATCAAAATTATATTACAACCAGTCTTTTGCCACACATCCATTTTTTGTTTAAAATATCTATGCTCTAAAAAATCTTGAATTTTATGAATTGCTATAAATGATAAGATTAGATAAAATTCTAAAGAAATGATCAAGAATATAAACATCTCCTATGCTTAGATAAGTATTACAAAAGCAATATAGATCTTGATGGCACATTGTCAATAAAACTTTTGTATTCGTTAAACTTATAAAATTCTTAGAGAAATCAAAACAACAGAATAAATTAATGGAGATAAAAAGCAATATAGATCTCAATTGTAGATAGTTGTTGAATCCAAATTAAACAATTATCAATAAAATATGGAGAGAACCAATCAAGACATTTCTGAAGTCATATTAAACAAATTTTGTCAAGAAGCTGAATGATTAAGCAACCTTTTGTGATATTTAAGGTGCTCCAAAGAATCTGTACTTTATTATGCATATAAATTTTTAAAAAATAAATTTCCAAAACCATAGGATATATATGAATTCAACTAATGCAAATAAATGATTTTCTTATTCATGATATTCATAGAATCAATTAGGGGTGTCAATATTTGACACGACACGAAAACCCGACTCGGAATTTTTGGGTTAGACCGACCCGTTTTTAAAACGGGC